AGACGCCCTGTCATTTGCTATTTGAATTAGTTCTTAAAATTGATTTACAGTTCTCCTACTGTAGAAATTTAGTTTATGCCACTTTTCCATTTTGTAGGGAACATAATAAACCTTATCATTGTTCTATCTTATACACTTTCATTTCCTTAGGTTATTACTTTTTACCTTGTATTAGTCCCTGTGCTGAATGCTTTATTTTCTTCTTCCAGAGCATATCTTGATCTTAGTCCACTGGTCTTTCTGTTGCCAAAATTGCTACAGTGGAATATAGTTAATATGGTTGTTTTTTTGGGGGGGTCATCTGTTATTCTGTGTACGATCTAATAAACTGTGTGGACCTTGATACATGTTGAATGAATGCGAAGTAACTGGGTTAGTAGCTATTCTGCGCGGGATTACAGCCTTCCAGAGGAATGGTGACTTTTCTTTGTGCAGACTCTGATGTCCCGTGTTTTCTTCTTCCTCCTGCCAAACCTCGCAGGCAATCCAGTATGGTAGTGAAGATAACAGTACTGCGGTAGTAGTGCCTTTTGGTGCCTGGGGGAAGTACAAGAACTCTGAAGTCAACTTCTCATTCAGCAGAAGCTTTGCCTCCAGTGGACGATGGGCCTGACTGCTTGCTGGGACTCTGAATTTCTGTGAAACAGTTCTTCCCTGAGTATGTCAAGAAACTTAGTAGATCAAACGCGTCAGCTGTGTCGGGGTGACTCTGTGACTCACTAGATTAGTACACAGTGTAAATATCCTAACCATCTACATTGTAGTTTTTCATAAGTAGCTGTCATATTTATGTTCAGCTGTACATACTCAGCATAAATATGTGTGTCATTCAGTTATTGTGAGTCTCGAAGTTGAGTGAGCAAATGAAAAGTGGTTTTGACACACTTGCTGAGTGTTACAGTTCTAATTTTTAAAACTCTTAGGCAGCTATGAGTTTCTTTTGATCATTTTTGTTCTTTATTCGTTTGAACAGATTCTCGCCTTCAAGGTCTTCAACACTAGTAGGCATTTTGACGGCTCTGCAATGTGTTCGCCGCAAGTGTTCGTTTTTAATAGCTCTACCGAGGAGTAAGTGTGAAAATGGAGTTCCGTGTGACTGTATTTTGTATTTTGGACCACTTACTAGTAAACTTCACAATGCAAAAGACATTAATTCAGATAATATGACATTGCTAAAGTATGTGCGTGTTGACAACGATGCACTTTCGTATTTCAGCTGTGTCCCTTGGTCTCCATTCTTCTTTTTTCTGTAGCTAAGAATGCTGTACAGATACATAGACTACTCCTTTATATCAGAAAAATATGCACAGGCTGAGTCTTTTGGTCAAAGCTATACAAACTTAAATACTGACGGTATCAAGTATTCTGTATGAAGGTTCCATTGGTTATCTCTAACTTCGTGTTCTGTGTATTGTATATAGTATGTTTATGTCACTTTTTGTATAGATTCAGCAAGTTGGATAATGTGTCAGTAAAAATGATACCACACTGACTGACAATGCTACAGACATAGTGTGAGGTTTATGTCTCCTTTTCGCTTATTTCTGTGATTCATAACAATAAATCTAGAACATTAAAGCATTCTGTATTTCAGCTTGCTAGTGTAACTTAGGAATGTAAAACTATACTTCTTTATATCTGCATGTAAGTTTGCTGTTAAAATGTGCATCTCTACATGCGTGTTTGGAATTATATCTGCAGTTTATTTTGGCAGACAATGTAAATTTGTTACATGTGTGGTGTATGTACAAATGTAAATTTTGGAGTAATAGAGAATTAAAGGGAACAATCCTGCATAGCTCCTTCACCAGTTAGCTTTAAATTACTGGTATGTTTATCCCCAAGGACTCCTGACAAACAGAGGGCAGTTTTATAGCGGAGAACCAACGGTTATTGGCAGATGAGGAAGTGAATTTAAAATGGCTGTAGGAGATATTTTATGGTGGCTAATTGATGTGGAACACACAGAAGCAGACTAGCATGTTGAAGCTACATTGCTATATGGTAATTTGCAAATAAAATAATAGGATGTGAGGAAAATACTGAGTGTTAAGAATGATGTGGAGTTTTGTTGTAAAAACAAACAAAAAAAGAAACCAAGAAGAAAGTATACCTTCCACTCTCAGTTTTCATGGTCGACTTGTTGTCTGTCTTTATGTTTTCATTTAAAGGTTTGTTAGAAGGAAGATGGCCCGATATAAATATTCACATCTTCTCATCTTTTGGGGAATGGAAGAAAATGAATCTTGAGTTTTTCTGTATTTATTAATCAGGAATTTTCCTTTGATAAAAAAGTTGACAAAGAAATATTTCAATTTCATGGGGCACCTGGGTGGCTCAGTCGTTAAGAGTCTGCCTTTGGCTCAGGTCATGATCCCAGGTTCCTGGGATCGAGCCCTGTATTGGGCTCCAGCCCTGTATTGGGCTCCCTGCTCAGCGGGGAGCCTGCTTCTCCGTCTCCCACTCCCCCTGCTTGTGTTCCCTCTCTGTGTCTCTCTCTCTGTCAAATAAATAAATAAAATCTTAAAAAAAAAAAAAAAAGAAATATTTCAATTTTTTTTCCCAAGGAAGCTTAGTGAAAATAAAAAATATTACAGGAAAGAAAATAGTCTCCTGTTCATTGTCTGGGAAGTGAGGAACCAAAGGTAGGCTAAGAAAGCTGGAAAGCTTTCTTGCTCTTTCTGACATATGTTTAGGTCCCAGAACCTAAATATAGAAGCTTCACTTAGGAGTATGGAGAATTTCCAAACTAACAAGCAAATGAAAACTCTAAAGCACAAAATGACATTCTGAAAATGTAGGTTTCATTTTTGATCTGAATTCTTCACAGGGTGGGAGTGATGTTGTCAAGCTCAAAAGTCACTGATGCACTGAGGCAGATTGCCAGGTTTAACAAAGAGGAATCTGTAGGGTTGTCTAGGCCTTAGTATGGGGTGGACTTTGCTCTGCTTCATCTGAAAAGCTTTTAAAACTCGTAATCAATCAACTTTGACTAAAGCATAAAAACATATGGGTGTTTGTTTTTTAAGCCACAATGTTGAGGTATAATTTGTAGGTTATTGTAATCCACAAAAGATATTAAGCCTACAAGGAATTATGCAAATAGTAGGGAAAAAAGGACTATTCTAAATATAGTTTTTTAGCTATAACTGTGATTTTGCCATGTGGCTGTTACCATGTGGGTGTAGCTATAGTGTAGATTATATATTAATGTAATTAAACCTAAATCTGTTATAATTTACACTTGCCCTTCATTTATATGTAGTATATCAATCATCTTTATCAAATGTGTTGCCAAACTATTTGCCAACATTGACTTGGCAAAATATTCTTAAAATCATTGTGATTTTTCACAAGTATAAGTTCTTAAGTATCTAATATATTCAAAAGTAATGCTGTCCTGCTCTCCATCAACTGTTTATTTGTTGTAGATTTTTGTGTTTAAGTGCTTCAAAGTCTTATGCATTTTTCTTCTGAAAAAAAAATTAGTTTGTTTTGAAGGAAACAGTTTTGAATCTCTGTACTCTATGATGTGAATTGTTCTCAAGTTCCAAAATTAAAAAGAAATTACTTGCTTTGAAGAATTATTAGCACATAATCTGAATAAAAATTATTTTTTCAAAGAGGAATTTGATTTTTTTTTTTTTTTTTTAATTAAAAATCCTGGCAGAGAATGAGTTAGGTCTGTGCTAACTCCTCAATGTCAGACAGGACATTTAGTTTCTAAGAATGGACAAGGATTTAGTTTCAAGGTAATATGATAGTAAGAAAATGCTTCGAGGCGGGGCAAGGCGTGGTTAAAGTTTAACATCAAACAGTTAAATACAAACATGGATTTGTATTTAGCACTTCATTTGTTCACATACTCTTATCCATGGAAAGTGACATAAAATTTTGGTTGGATTACCTTTTATTGTACTTACTAGGTTCACTTACCTGGATGACTTAAGCAGAAATAAAATGCTGTGTCTTTGCAAGCCAAATTCTGATGACCTCCCTGTTGCTTTTGGTATCTGGAATGAGACCCATGGACTCGGGCAGCTCCCACTGGTTGTTAGGTGGCTCAAATGGTCCACTGATGGTCAATTAAGTATTCTGGGCTGTGAAACCATAGAGTTCTTCCCCCTCCAAGAATGACTCATCTGCCTTTGGATTCCAGTACAAAATTTAGCAGCTTAATGTGTCCCAAGTTAATTTAATTTCTGCTGAAGTGCTCCTGTGTACACTGTTTTACAATTTAACCAAAGTGCTACTTGGGTGTACTTTGTACTTGTTCCTAGTGAGTTGATGTAATTGCTGCTTTGACCATTGTTTTAAATGTATGTATTAGAGTAATTGTGAACAGACTAAAATCATGTATCTCCATGTTCAAAACACCATTTTAATAAAGTACATCCATTAAACACTTTTTAAAAATCCAAGTGTGTTTATTTGGAATCCAGACTTCCAATATTTATTATGTGATCCTGTGAATACTGATATATAAGAGCCAATGAATGGTTGGGAATTTAGGAGCCAAATTCAGGATGTTTGCAAAATTAGTTTGAAGAATCTTTGAAAATAATGTACACACTTATCCAAATTTTTTTGATTTGATCTGAAAGAAAATTTGTCTTTTTATTTCCTTCTTCCAAAATATTTGTTGGTATATCAGAGGAAAATGGTCATGATGATTTTCTAATATTTTGCATGTAGTATATTTCACTGTAGCATTTCTATGTATTTAAAAAAATAGAAATAGGGGTTTGGCAGTGATTCTGCAGATCTCAGCATTATGCATTTAACATAAGCAATTTTTAATGTCCTGTTGTTAATTGAATAGTTGCATTCCATTGGTGCAAGGATCTCTTCTATATTGTATTCCCTGAAGGTAACTTGGTAAAACGGCAGTAGAGATCTGTCTGTCCTGTTTTGTTCAAACTCCATACCTAGCACTCTTCATAGGTTTAGCAATGAGGAGAAAATGTTGAATCATTGATCATTAATGTTTGTTGATTAAGTTAATGCATTGAATTATACTTTTATTGATTTTATTTTAGTGGGGAAATGGACATTAGATATCTTGAGTATTAAGCCAAACATAGTATTTAATGGTGAAGGAATGACTTGTCACCCCTTTTGGTGTTTCCTTAGACCATGATCAGTTATGCCTTTGTGCATATATGGTTCAGAATCTTGTTCTGAACAAAAATCTACAAGAGCAGTGCTGCATGAATGACTCTAACCTGGCTTTTTTAGAAGATTGAGAAGGGGAAATGAATATTAAGGGTCTCTTTTGCATATACTATCTCATTTATTCTTTACAACAATCACACAGGGAAGCCTTTCTAATTAACCTTTTTACAGATGAGGAAATGGAGCCTTTGTGCAGCTCATAATGGCAAGATCCAATTCAGACCCCTTTGACTTCAAAATCTATGTTCCTTCTAGTCTACCATAGCCTCCTTTTGTACATTAGCAAAAGCAAAACCAATTCACTACTGTCAAACATCTATGAACATCTATTTGCAGAAGGTTCTCTGGTGCACATGAAAAAGAATTACAAGAAGTGATCCAGAAACACTGAGTAGATGGATGAGCATAGTAGAGATAGTAACTGAGCATCTGTCACAAAAAATGAATTAGGGCAGAGAATCAAATTATGTCCAAGCCAAGTAAGTGTAACTGGGGAGTGACTGAATGAATGAACAGAATTACTGCTTTAAACAGTAGAGTATTTAGATGATTTCTTATGGAAGTCTAATAAGTCAGTCTACCAATGATAAGCATTTACTGAGAACCTACTGCATAGGTCTGTAAATACCAGCTTGGGCCTAGCAGGGCTTGGGGAAGGTAATGGTTGATTATCTCCCTAGAAGAACTTTGTCAGAAGCCAAGAAGTGAGGAAAGTGAATTATACCAGAGAGTGTTCAGCTGGACAGGTAAAGCAAAGATGCTTGGAGCCAAAAGAGATCTAACCAATGAAGTCATTAAGCCTTTGACCACATGTCAAGGGTAAGTTCTTTCAAGGACCAGAAGATCTATATCATGTCTTAGGAGGCAAGTGGCCAAGGGCAGAACCAGTTACATACTTTGTGCAAAATGAAAACACCAGGCCCTTGTTCAAAATTGATGAAGAATTTCGAAGACAACAACTGCAGAACACTAAACCAAGTGTGGGACCCTTTTAAGAACTGGGTCTCATGCAGCTACGCAGGTTATGCACCCATGAAGCTGGCCTTGACCTGAGTGAAAATACTCTTAAAGAGCAAATTTTGCAAGTTAATGCAGACACAGAAAAAAGGAGCGCAATGTCAGCAAGGCAAGAATAGTTCCCTACAGGGGTGCCTGGGTGGCTCAGTTGTTGAGTGTCTGCCTTCATGAAGCTCAGGTCATGATCTCAGGGTCCTGGGATTGAGCCCCGCATCAGGCTCCCTGCTCCGCGGGAAGCCTGCTTCTCCCTCTCCCACTCCCCCTGCTTGTGTTCCCTCTCTGGCTGTCTCTCTCTCTCTGTCAAATAAATAAAATCTTAAAAAAAAAAAAGAAAGAATAGTTCTCTATAACACAAAATGTATACAAGCTAGGAGGGCACAAAGCCTTGA